TTTGAATTAAATTGAATTAAAAGTGAACCGGTCAGTGAGGAGCCTCAATTTACTTTACAAGAAAACAGGAAGGCCTCATTGGTTTGGAATGTGGTCGTTCAAAACTGTGAGAAACATTCAAATCAAAAATAATGTGGAAGATTTTATACTTGATGCTACAAGGGCACTCAGAGCACATGTCTCTGCCAGGGCTGATATTCCAAATAAACAAAAATTCAAAATGTCTTTCAACTGGTCCACAACAGTCTCTGAGACATTTTTTAAAAAACATTAAGACATACACATATTAACATGTACGGTATAAACAGGCTCCCTCCCTCAAAACCAAACCGAGTTCATCTGATACAAGTGTTGTCATAGAAAGAATAAAGATAAATAAAAGTAAATAGACATGAAGACATAAACGCTGGGAAAATAAAGGTAACACGATCAAAGACAAGAAGGTTTAAAATAAACAAGCAGTCGTGAAAACTTTATCGACACAATCGTTTCAGGATCTGACAAGAAGCAAAATGACTAAATGGCTAAAAAGGAAAATCTCTTTAAATCTCATGATAAGATTTTAATTGCAGATTTCTGTTCATCCTGACTGAAGCAGAGTTCAACCACGAATTACTCTAACCCCCCCCCCCCCCCCTTATATCCAGGTGATGACAGTTTCTGCCATAACCGACTCTTTGAATTGATCATGCGCTCCTTCTTTTCCGAACGCCACTTATCTTCACGAAACACAGACACTTAGCGGTCGCAGACGACGGGCCCCTCCGACTCAAGACTGACCGGCACCTCGGTGTGCGGAGGTGGAGGGAGCTGCAGGGGCCAGACGAACGGGGCCCTGGACAGGTCAAAACAAGTTCCGACGTTACGTCACACGTGACAGCAGCAGCATTCAGGGCTCTGCAGGGCGAAGACGAAGAAGAAACCACAGTGTTTAAGAATGAGTACTGGTTCAAATCATTTAGGAACAGAGACAGAAATAATAATAAGATTCAAAACATTAAAGCTGTCTTGGTTAGAGTTTGAGAAAAATCTATTTTTTTTAAAGTTTAGCTTTAACTTTTACGTCAAATGTTCCAATTCTAGATTATTCACGTCAATTAGCTTAGCTTAGCATAAAGACTGGAAGCAGGTGGAAACAGCTAGCTTGGCTGCGGTTGTTGCTGGGATTTAGTTATCGCGCCACAGAAATCAGAATTTTGTAAAAACACTTATTATAACTTGTGACTTTATTCGTAACGAGCTCTGGATCGTGGCTCTCCACTGACTCTCTTTTACAGAACATACCGTTTTAAAGCGCAGCCAGTTCCACATTGACGTGTGTTGAAACATCCACTCAGGGCCTTTCTTCTCTAAAAAAAAAATCTCCCTTATCTGATGTGGCCTGAAATTTGACCGCGCATCAAAGACGGAGCGATGAGAAGTCAGAAATGCAGGAAAGCGCAGTGACATGAATGGAGAATAAGGATGAATAAAAAAAAACGAGCGTGCCACCCAGAAGCAGCCACACGCAGCTGAAACCTGAATGTTTCAGAACTAACCGGGTCTCACGAGGCTCAGCAGCCGTGGCCTCGTCAGAACAAACGAGTTCTGTAACGTGAGTTTCTTCAGAGACGACCTCGCTCAGAGGATTTCCTCTCTCCTGCACGATGTGTTTGATAAATCAGCGAGCGTGACTCATCCCCTGACTTCGCTCTGACTCCCTCCTGCCTGTGTTGGAGGGACCGAGAGGCCGAGGCGTGTCGGACCGACTAACAAACTGGCAGAGACACGGTGGTAAACTCCCAAACACACACTCACAGAGACAACACAACATTTGTGTTTCTGACTCAAACGCACTTAGTTTCTGTTTTTCATTCCTCTTTGTTGCGATGGTCGACTTCCTTTGGTTCATGAAGCTTTATCACGACATCAGACAGCAGCAGACACACACACACACACACTGACACACACACAGCTGGTTAAAGTTCCTGCTTTTATATTTCACAAATCACTCTGGAGATGTAAGTAGGCCACAACTAAACTGTGGTTGAAAGATTTATCCACCAGGTGTTTCATGAGCTGCAAAAATCAATCGATCATCCTCCAGTAAGAACATTTTTTAATCTGGAAAACATTCCAGGTAGTTGTTGCAACACAGAACTGATGGCGATAAATCAGAACATTTTGAAAATCATTAGCTTATCTTGAAACCAGGGAGTGAGAGGCAGAGACACGGTGGATAAATTAACTGTCGGAGGAAGATAGAAACCAAACTACGGCTTTAGAAGAGAAGAGGATTTCTACCTCAGCTGTGGTTAAGTTCGTGGTTTGAATGTCCCGAGAGGTTCAGAGAAGAAGAAGAAGAAGAAGGGAAATGGGTAAATGAGCTTCCCGCTGGGAGCAGGAGCTAAAAATAGAGACATCAGACCTCAGATGTTGTTCATGCGTGAACTCTGGAGAAAAGGGCATCAACAAAGATCAAGGACATGAAGATCAGGATGGATCCGAACCTGCGGCCGCTGCAGGCGGGCTCAAGTCTGTGAACGTGGGGCGTCCGCTCTGCCATCCATCTCAAATCTATCTCTGACATTGAACACCTACAATCCGCTGAGTGGGACGACCCATAGGCTGGAAACAAAGATGGACGAAGCAAAACTGAAGCCAAGATATTTCGACACGGGCGCCGCCATCTTGTTCTTTTCAAGTCGCGTTCATTCTGCTTGTTTGAGACGTGATTCAAAAACCTGTTTTAATTTACGAGGTAGAATCTGTGAGCAGTGACGTTCTTGACTTTTATTATGAAAAGGAGGCAGCGACATTCATCCGTCACGATCGCATTGTGTCGTCCGCGACCTCGTGCTGACGGCTGACATGACGGTTTGTTTCAGGTCCGTGCTAACTTGCTGATAATCGTGCTGTCTCATTTTTATCTGTCGGACTTCATCTTCCCTTCGGCACCTGACATCCTCTTCTCCTCCTCTTCCTCCCTGTGTTCTGTCAACTCCCTGTCTCTTTAATAATCATGTTTATTTTACTTTATTAGGCTTAGGTTCTCCTCTCCTCTCTTTCCTGTGCGACTCGCTCTCTCACTCTCTCTCTCTCTCACTCTCTCTCTGGGTTCAGGGTCTTGGTTTCATCCCAGACGGGGCCGTAACTTCCTGCCGCCTCCTACAGATAACAGAACAGGGGCATTAACACACACACACACACACACACACATACACACACACACACACACACACACACACACACACACACACACACACACACACACACACAGCTGGTTAATGTCTTCCACGCTGCTGCTGCAGTGCTTTCCCACAGAACAAGAACACCCATACACTTGTGTTTAGTTGCTTTTTGTCACCACAGGAACTTTCCCCAGGAACCGGGAAACATCATGTATACTTATATAATAAGTTCCGGGAAATCTTTTAACCCCTCAAAAAGTCCCAGAGCCGCCAAATCTCCCACGAGTCGTTGGACCTCGACCGAAACGCAGGTGAACCATTTCAGCTCCTTGGAAAAAGTTCCTGGTTCCTCAGTTTCGGTAAAATGATCAAACTTTAACAGAAACTACTTCTTTCTTCTGTGGGCTGAGAGGCTAATTGCTAATTGTGTTAATTAATGTAACCATGGTGACAGGGACGAGTTAATGACTTGATAAAGGTGCAAGTATCTACTGCGTATAAACTATATATCTATATTTACATTATCATCCTACTGCTAATCATGTCACAAAGCTCATTTAACAAATACAAGGCCTAACATATCACGTGCACTGCATTTCCCTTGTGCACGTGCATGAATAAACACAGACATTCTCTCTCTGTCATCATTAGAAGCAGAGAGTCAAACATTTCCTCTCAATTTAAACAAGAAATCCTTGTAACACATACATGGATGATGTTAAAACCCATCCCCGTCCACATGCTGGGATCTACACGCCTGCAGGGCGGGATTATGTCCGATTAGTATTTCGAGACGTTATCGATGTTGTTTGGACTTCTGCGTTTTCCTGAATGTCCACAACAGAAACCAGAAGTTAATCTGAGCGTTCTCAGTCGTTACCGAAAAAGGGAACGTTTAGCGGAGGCTGGGTTTTCTGAGGCCCGCCTCATAAATGTCACATTACTTCTTCATCTATCAAATAAAGTCTCATTTAAAGCTTGTTATGCGCTCGCTGCTGGCTCCGAGAAAAAGAAAAGGGAGGTGAGTCGTCCATTTGAGAATGTAGGAGCTCTTGATCCAGTGGCACACAGGAAGGAGGTCTTTAAGAGCCACATGGTGTGTGTGTGTGTGTGTGTGTGTGTGTGGGGGGGGGGAATTTAAGTGAGGATTTCAAAAGAAAACACAAGGAAATCAAACATAAAGCAGCAGAAAATATGATAATATCTTTTATCTTCTGTGAGCGAGACGATCGGCTTTATCTTATCTTCTGCTCCAGACTCTGATGGAGTCCTGCTGCTTTTAAAGGTCAAAGGGCAAAAGGGTCACGAGTTAGGGTCAGCAGACATTTTTTTTAAAGTGTGTGTCTGTGTGGAAAGGGTCTGAGTGGTGGCGCAGGGACCATGAAAGAAATTCCAGATGCTGTGGAATTTGTCTTCACTGGGAATTTGTTTTTGTGTGTCTCACTAAGAGAGAGGTCATGAGAACAGCAGAACACACACACACACACGCACACACACACACACACACACACACACACACACATCTTGCCTGTTCAGCTACATTAACTCCACACGACACTAAAATCTTTGTCCCTGTTAAAACAATAGAAATGAAATATTCCCTTCAAAGCACCGAACACAACTTCAGTTTAGATTCTTTGGGCCGAGCTGTCGTGGAAAAAGAAAAGTAGAGCGTCTGAATGAGAGTCACATGGTTGTTTCAAACACGCCGCGTTATCATTTTGACATTGAGCCAGATCTTAAAGAGGGCTTTAAACAAATCAGACGGTGGTTTGTGAAACTTCATGAGAACATTAACGGACTTGATAGGAGCTGAAACACATCAAACAATGGTGAGTATCATTTATTTCTATAAAGAAAGACAAAAAAATTCTCAATTAAAAAACAACATAAAAATATAAATGAGCCTGAAATAAAGTCTTTTACAACGTCTGCTATTTCCTTGAAAACCGATCGGTTGAAATCAATAATTCTTTATTGATTTGATGTATTCAATTCACTTTTCAGCCACAAGGAAACTGAGACACGGAGACATCAGTGTTCGGAGGATTTTGCTCCTCCATGTGTTCAGAGGTTTGCCGACAAGCTCGATATCCATCACGTCAAACTGATCGTCAGCTCTTGTGACTCTCGTCGAAACACAGAGACGAGCTCAGCTGCCGTGAAGATCCAACCTTTGTTTTTATTCATCTCTCCGCAGACGACGACTTTGTGCTCTTCTGAAGTCTCGTAATTCTTCTTCAGAGAAAAATCCACGACTTCTATCTTCCGATGAAGCTCTGTCTGTCTCTGTCTCTGTCAGGAGCTGATGTTTTTTGATTATTTGTCCCGCTGTGATCAGAGAGTTGTGGCCGACTTGACCTTGGAGGAGAGGACCTGCCTGAACCTCCTCTTCAGCTCCTGCATGTTGGGAGATTTGGGGCGGGCCAGGTGGAGGCCGCCTCGCCTCTTCTCGCCGTTACCTCCTCCCAAAGCTCGGATCACCTGGAGGACGAGAAGTTGTGACGAAGTTAAAGACCTCGTCATCACCAGGATGTGAGAGGTTTCCTGTTGGAGTTCATATTTACAGATGTGGAAGGAACGTTTGTGAGTAGTGACTTCTGTTTGCAGCAGCTGCTAAATAAGCTAAACATGGAAGTTACAGCAGCATTTTCTTTCATTTTCATTTGGAGCGATGTTTCTCAAAGTGACCTCGACCTCGTTAGTTCAAACCCTCTGACATCACACAGCGTTAAGGAATCTGCTGCTTAAAATACCACACAGGAAACACACTGAAATACGATGAGGCTCCGGGCCAAACCTCCGATCACTCCAACAAAAACACAAGGATTCAGTTAATGATGCTCTTTCTCGGGAAAAACACAAATATGTATTATTCAGTGACTCATGACATCAACAAGGAAAAACACTGTAATCCCATTTCCCAACGGAAGATGTATTTCTATAAAAGCCGAGATTCTGCAGCCAACGCATCTACATCCATTTTTACCAAAAACAAAAAAGTCCCACCTCCTGGCAGAGATGGAGGAAGGCGCCGTGGACTCCTTCGTGGTTCTCTCTGGCCGAGGCCTCGAAGTAAACTCCACCTGTGAGCAGAGAGCCTGGGTCAGAACTTATCTTCCAGATAACGCTCGGCATTCCTCGTTCATTAGACAGCGTGCAGGATATAGTTCACATGCACGGGAGCAGGCAGAGAAACGAGCCGCTGCGATTGGTCAACCAACATCTGCACATTCACAAAGTGACTGTGGGAGAATCAGAGCTGCAGAGAAAAGAGGTTCACTGATCGAAATGTCAAACAAAAATCTGGAGCTAGTGAATTTAAGTGTGTTGGTGGAGTCTCGGTGGAAGGATGAGGAAAGAACCCATCATATATGTTGGTGCAAATATTTATGAGAACGTTCTGTGATTCCTTCTGAAACTGTGGCACAAAATAGGAGGAAGCAGAAGCTGCAGGAGGAAGAGGAGGACGTCTCACCTAATGAAGCTGCCAACGTCTCGCCCTCGTCCGCAGGCACTTGTCGGGCGCGGAGCAGGTCGCTCTTGTTGCCAACCTGCAGGAGATTTCAGATTACAGAGCAGACTTTTGTCTGGGCGCTCTCAACACCAACCCGAGCACATCAGCGATCAATGATAATCAATAATCTGTAATTGTTGGCGTCCGCACACTGACCAGTATAACAGGGATGTTTCCAGACGGGTGGATGCGTCTGACGTGCTGGTAGAGAGGCTGGATGGTTCGGAAGCTGTTGTGGTCCGTGATGGAGAAAACCAGCACGTAACCGTCGGCCCAGTAGATCGACCTGGAAGTCCAGTTATTATATTTAGTTGTATGTTATTAAACAAGGTGTCAGTGATTGGAATGAAGGTAGTTCGATGTCTGACCTGTTGATCTGCTCCTGACAGTACAGCCCCTCTACGTCGTCCTGCAGGAAACAGACAGGAATTATTTGTAATTATCTGATTAATGAATTATTGTGATGTTTCAGAAAATAGACTCTGGCTCCGAATGATGACGAAATTGCAAAAAAAAATGGCCGCAGAAGGAAGCAGAGACACGTCGACCCACATCTTTATTTACAATCCATGTTGGGTGCGTCTTTGTCCTTCTGATGTGTCAGCGAAACACATTCTCATTTTCAAGATTATCCTGAGTCGTCCAGCACAGCTCGAAGTGACGGAGGAGGAGGAGGAGGAGCAGGAGGTGAGTGTGAGTCTGTTTATGGACACACACCAGCTGTTTCACAGAAGGAACTTGTGACTCCTCCTGAACCAGCGGACCACCCAGTCGTCCGCTCACATCTACCGTCATCAAGAGTTAAAAAAGAGTTTCTCAGGTTCTCGACTCCTCCTGAATCCACACACCTAACTATTTCCTTCTAATCTCTGCAAACCGCTCCACCATCATCCTCCCTCACACCGCTTCCTCACCCCTCTGTTATCTCCCTCCTCCCCCCCCCTCCTGTAGGAAATGAGCAGCTCAGAGGCCTGGTCTGGTAAACAGACAGCCGGTGTGGAGCGGGGTGAGCTGCCCGGCACGTTCCACTCATTATCCTCATCAGGAGTCCAGAGATGGTCCAACTTCCTCTTTCTTCAAATACGTTTCCTCAAATTGCTTTGAGATAAAAATGGAAGTTTTTCTTTCCTGTTGACGGCCTCTGAGGGACGTGTTTCAACTTTTAGATGTACAGCAACGAAGACGTCTCAGCATTTTAAACTGCTCCACCAAACGCAGCAGCAACAGATGCAAATATAAACATTTTAAAACCAGTTTTACTTTTGCAGCAAAGAATATTTCTTGAACTTTAGGCTGAACGTTGTAAAGCAGTGTGGGATCATGGGAGTTGTTGTCTTGAGTAAACGTATTAAAGTTTGATTCAGGAAACGGCAACGACTCATGAGTTTCATACTTTGTTTGAAGCAGAGACGGACAAAGCCGCAGGTAACAACGGATATGACGCAAGAATAAGAACCAAAGTTAAACTTCCTGTTACCTCGAATAAAATTCGAGCTCATATCGTCTTTTAAACGTCCAGCGAGAGAAGAAAAGATTTTTCTCTCTGTTCATTGAAACTCTGGAAACATGGCGGCCGCCTCTGCATTTACCTGGAGAGCGACGCAGGGAGTATCCTGGATCTGAAGCGACACTTCCTCCCCGTCCATGGTGACCTTTCTGGAGTAGAGCGCCCCTGCGGAGAACGAACCAGACGGGGGGGGGGGGGTTGAATGAGTCAATGGAGAGATGGATCAATGGCGGGATTTCTCTGGAGCCGAGGGGTTTTTTTTTTTCCTGCTTACGCTGCTAAATATTTCAGAGGCTGAAACTCACCCGTGTTTGCTTCATAATCCCC